GGGGCCCAGGGAGAGGTGGGGGGCGTGGCTGGGGGGGCCAGGGAGAGGCTGAAGGGCCCAAGGAAAGGCTGGGGGGCATGGCTGGGGGTGTGGCTGAGGGCTGGGGGGCCCAGGGAGAGGCTGGGGGCGTGGCTGGGGGGGCCAGGGAGAGGCTGGAGGGCCCAAGAAAAGGCTGGGGGGGCATGCCTGAGGGGCCCAGGGAGAGGCTGGGGGCGTGGCTGAGGCCTGGGGGGCCCAAGGAAAGACTGGGGGGGGTGGCTGAGGGGTCCAGGGAGAGGCAGGGGCGTGGCTGGGCGCGGGGGGGGGGCGCGGGGGGGGGCGGGGGGTCACGCTTCCCGGCTGACTCGCTTGCTCCCCCCCCAGGTTCAGCATGCGGGTGAACAGTACGGACCTGTTCCACGTGGACCTGCGCCATTGGAGCCCCTTGCGCGGGCGCGACCCCCAGCACGGCCCCCGGGAGCGCGCCTTCCACAGCGCCAGCCTGCTGGGCAGTTACATGGTGGTGTACGGTGAGCGACCGCGGCCCGCCGGGACCCCCCTCTGACCTCCCTGATCCGCCCCCCCCCCCCCCCCCTCCCCCCCTCCGGGGCCCCTCCTGTGGTGACCGCCCCCACGGGCTGGGGACCCCCTACTGGCCCCCCCCTTAAGCTCCCCCATGTCACTGGGCCCAGGTGGCAGTGTACGCTGAGTGACACCCCCTTATCCTTGCCCATCATTGGCGCCTATGTGCTCACCCCCCCAGAACCTCCCACGCACCCATCCTGTTCCCTCCTTCATCATCAGCCCCCCATGTGGGGTCTGTGGTGAGTGAGAATTAACCCACTGTGACGGTGCTGCCCGGGGGAGCCAGCTGAGGTCACTCAATCAGGGTGAACTGCAAACAGAACGGGGCAAACAAACCCCAAACGCTGGTGGATTTTCCAATACTTAGATTTACCAACCAGCCCAAAACAGCTTCTGTATCACCTCACTGGTTCCTCAGACGTCCAAACAACGCAGTTCCCTTAAAGTGCCCAGCCTCTGTCCAGACACACACGTCAGATATGATGATGTCACGGAGTATGGGGGGACTCAGGGCCCTGCACCCCCCGGCGTCCTGCGATTCACCATGACTCTCAGCCAGCCAGTAAAGCAGAAGGTTTATTTAGACGATGGGAATACAGTCCAAGACAGGTCTTGCAGGCGCAGACAACAGGATACCCCTCAGTTAGGTCCATCTTGGGGTCCCCGGGCACTCCAGCCCCCCCTCCGGAGGTCAGAGCCCTCCCTGCCTTCCAGCCACCTCACCAGCCAGCCTCCCACACTCTGCCTTCAGCGACCCCTCCCACAGCCTTTGTTCAGTTTCCCGGGCAAAGGTGTCACCTGGCCTCCCCCCCTTCCTGGGTTCTCATGTTACATGCTCAGGTATTCTCCTTCAGTCATTCTCCCATCCCCCAGTGCAGACCATCCTAGCCACACTCCCCTGTCAGCACTCACAGACCACACTAAGAACAGTCTCAGTTCGTCACATCTCTCCCCCCTCCGAGACCGAACTGAGCGGGGTCACTTTAGCCAGTGACCCGGGGAAGTTCGAACCTACCCCCGTTCCCATGGATGCCCCAGCATCCCTCCCATTCCTTGGTGAGAATTACACCAGGCCCCTCCATGTTCACGCCCTCCCTTAGGTCGGGGGTGCTCAAGGGCATTCGCAGTTCACATGTGGGAAGGGTTATGCAGCCTGTGCCCTTTTCCCACCCCAATACCCCTGGGGTTCCAACTGGGCTGGGGTCTTCTCCCAGCGCTCCAGTCTGGAGGTCTGTGCTTCGGGCTCTCTTGGTTCAGAGCCCCCCTTTTAACCTTGGCCACCCTCCGGAAAGGCTCCTCTAGGCTGGGCAAGGGTCCTACAGCCGTTTTCCCCTTGTCCCGGGCCTTCCTCCCCCTCTGACAGGGGTCACAGGATCGGCAGTACTGCCGGACTGTAACAAAGACCCCAGGCCAGTAAAAGCTCCGTAGCAGCCTCTGCTGGGTACGCCAGGTTCCCTGGTGCCCTGAGAGGGGAATGTCATGGGCCCGGTACAGCAGCTGGCGGCGATACTTCTGGGGTACCACCAGCTGCCTCCTGATCCCCCCTGACTCCATCTTCCCTGGGTGAGCCCATTCTCGGTACAGGAACCCCTTCTCCCACAGGAACCTTTTCCGGCCACCTCTCCCCATGGTTTGTACCGCACTGAGGTCGGCCAGGTCCCTTATATTCCGCAAGGAGGGATCTTTCTGCACCTCGGCCTGGAACTCCGCAGCTGGGACAGGGATGGCCACCTGCTCTTTCTCGCCGGCTGGGCCTGAAGCCGCAGCCTTCCTGAGCCGTGTCCCTGGGTGTTCCCTCCCCACCAGGTTAGGGTCCTGCGCCTCAGGCAAGGCACCCTCCCCAAGGCCAGGGTGCAGTGCCCCTCGCCGGTTCTGACTGCGGGTCACAACCAGTGCACTTTGTGGGTTGCTTGGCCAGTCCTCCAGGTCCCCTCCCCATCAACACCTCAGTGGGCAAATACGGGTGTACCCCCACGTCCTTGGGGCCCTCCTTGGCCACCCACTTCAGGTGTACCCTCACCACGGGCACTTTGACTGGTGTCCCGCCCACCCCCGTCAGAGTCAGGTAGGTGTTGGGCACCACCTGATCTGGGGGCACCACCTTGGGCCGGGCCAGCGTCACCTCTGCGCCCGTATCCCAGTATCCATTGACCTTCCTCCTCCTTACGCTGGGCCAGCAAGCACTTATCAAAGCTCTTTGCAGTCTTGGGTCCCCCCTCGCTCACCGCAGCTGGGGCCCCACTGCTCTTCAGCCTGGCCAGTTCCAGCTCATGCTGACGTTGGTCCCGCTCATGCTGACGTTGTTTTTCCCGTTTTACCCGTTCTTCCCGCTCATGCTGACTTTGTCTCTCCTTCTCTTCCCGCTCCTGCTTCAGTTCTTGCTGCCTTAACTCGAGCTCGAGCTCTTTCAGTCTCAGCTCCCTGTCACATTCCAGTCGCATCCGCTCCCGGGACGGGGAGCTCCGCCGGGATGATCCCCTGCTGGCCGCCGGGGTCAGGGTGCCCTCAGTATTCGCTGGGCTTTCCCCAACCCCTCCCCTAGGTATAGGTCGGCAGGGTCTCCGGATGTCCTTGGCAGCAGTCTGACTCCTCCCAGCCATGTCAGGCCCCGGGGCCCACGCTGCATCCGCCGGGCGGCTTCTCTTAGGCAAAGGGCTCGGTTCACCCAAGCGATCCCTCTCCTCCAGCCGGGCAATGAGCTGTTCTTTGGTGGACCTCCCAATGCGCAGCCCCCTCTGCCTGCACAGCTCCACCAGGTCACTCTTGAGGCGTTTAGCATACATCTCCTGCTGGCCACACACCGGCCTGTGCTCTCCGCTTTCCACCGTTCCAGGGGGGCCCCTAGTGTGCCAGCCCCTCTTCAGGTCACCACCTCTCTGCCAGGGTCGAGCTGCAGACTCCTCCGCCCCGGGACTGCTCGCTGTGATCCCCCGGGGGACCCTGTTACTGCAAAAGTCCTTCTCACTGGTCACACACTCCCAGGGGTGATAACCGTCTGCTCCCCAGTCACTTACTGCAGGAAGCGCCGTCCACGGGGTGCAGTAGATCCCACCGCTAACACCAGTTGTCACGGAGTATGGGGGGACTCAGGGCCCTGCACCCCCCGGCGTCCTGCGATTCACCATGACTCTCAGCCAGCCAGTAAAGCAGAAGGTTTATTTAGACAACGGGAATACAGTCCAAGACAGGTCTTGCAGGCACAGACAACAGGATACCCCTCAGTTAGGTCCATCTTGGGGTCCCCGGGCACTCCAGCCCCCCCTCCGGAGGTCAGAGCCCTCCCTGCCTTCCAGCCACCTCACCAGCCAGCCTCCCACACTCTGCCTTCAGCGACCCCTCCCACAGCCTTTGTTCAGTTTCCCAGGCAAAGGTGTCACCTCGCCTCCCCCCCTTCCTGGGTTCTCATGTTACATGCTCAGGTATTCTCCTTCAGTCATTCTCCCATCCCCCAGTGCAGACCATCCTAGCCACACTCCCCTGTCAGCATTCACAGACCACTTTAAGAACAGTTTCAGTTCGTCACAGATGATGATTACTGAAAATCTGATCTCATTATATAAAAGAAAAGGTTTTTCCAATCCCAAAGGATCAGCCCCAGACCCAGGTCCAATGATAACTTAGATCTTACCCAAAATACTCGCTATAGCCAATTCTTGTTAACTAAGCTAAAATTTATTTTAAAAAAAAGAAGAGAGTGTGTTGGTTAAAAGATCAATATACAGACAGACTTGAATTTAATTCTTGAGGTTCAGGTACATAGCAGAGATGAGCTTGTAGTTGCCAAAAGTCCTTTTAGAAATAGTCCAGAGGTTATAGTCCCATGTCCATGCTCAGGGTGATTCCAGTCAGTGACTGGGGATCTCAGTCCTTGTGGCTTAAGGTTTCCCCCTCTTGAAACCCAAAGCGGATCTGAGATGAAGCAGGATCGTGGCCCAGGGTTTCCAGCAGCCTTTTGGCCTGAGAAAACAATAGGCTTAATTCTCCTTCCAAACATCCTGGCAATTAGCACAGGGTAATTTATCCATTACACAGTTCAGATACAGGTCACCACAACCTTCAGAGACAGAGACAATAATACTATTTCCCTCAAGTGTCTCCCTAAATGTTAATATTCCTTTTTTGGTCTTTGAATCAAAGCTGTAGCAATAGACAAGACTCGTTTGCTGACGTCACAAGCCCTGAGCAAACATCTCCCTTCTACCGCTAACAATGCAGACTTGCATTTCCCAGCTCTGTTCAGTTACAGATCTTCCTAACCAGTCTCTAAAGTTTGGCCCTGGGTCAGGTCAGTCTGGGAGGTAATTAACTCTTTCTGGCCCTGTCACCTTCCAATGAGCTATTATATTACACTCATAACGTCACACACACCCCGGGTCTGACCCCCCCGCCCCCCCTCTCGGCTGTGCTGCCCCCCAGTCTGACCCCCCCTCGCCCACAGGGGGCAACGTGCACATTCACTACCATGAGGAGAAGTGCTACGAGGACGAACTTTTCTTCTACCACCTGGGCTGCCACCAGTGGGTGCCCGGCCAGGCGCTGGCACGAAGCCTGCCCCATGGTGAGGGGCTCGGGTACCCTAGGGAGCAAGAGGGGCAGGTGTGGGGGGAGGGGGGATGCCCCAGGAGATGGGGGAGCAGGGGTGAGGGTGGGGGGGCGGTCGTGGGGGGGAGCCCTGGTGGACAGGGGTGGGGCGAGGGTGAGGGGATGCCCCAGGAGATGGAGGGGGGGGGGCATGGGCAGCTCCCCAGTGGCTGGCAGGTGGGGGGGCACCCTGGCGGATGGGAAGGGTTGGGGGGATGCCCGGCGGCCGGGGAGCCAGTGGGTCCCAGTGCTGCCTGATGCTCCCCTCTCGGCAGAGCGG